ATATATTTATGCCGCTTATACAATTTTAGCGTCTTCTCTAAAAATGTATATAATTTATTGCTTACCAATTTGCTACGCACGTTATGATGTAGAGCGACGGGCACTGATGTTGGCGCTGCAGTTTTGGCCGCACCGGCGTTGCCACAAGAAGTATTAATGGAGCTGGAAATTGTCGAGCCATTGTTGCTGCTACTGCTGTTGCTGTTGCTGCTGCTAATGCTGGAGTTACTGTTCATGCTGGTGTTGCTACTGGATGGTGCCTCAAAACTGATACGCGCACCACGACTGTATTGGGGCGTGGCACTTAACAGATCGTTAAGTATATGTATTACCGTTGATATGTCGCGCTTTGGCCGGCCAAAGCGATCCTGTAGCGCCGGATTTAAAGTGCCTGAGAATGTGCCAGAGTAGATGCCCTTGCCGTGATTCTTCATCGATTCAATGACAGCGCCGGAGCCACTTTTGCGTGGTGTTTCTTCACCGCCCCCAATGCCGGCGCCAACACCCATGTTTCCACCGCCAGACAAGTCAATCTTATTAGTGAAAACCTCTTTCGAGAGCTTCCGCAAAGTCTGGGTCAGATTACGCGATGCTTCGGCAAGAGTTACGCCGGCATCGTCTAACTCAGCGGTGCTGCTAGTGCGGGTGGTCCCAACCGCATCTGCAATTGGGGTTCCACTTTTCGCGAGAGTTGCCTCTTGAGACTTGAGCCTTGCGGCTGCCGCTAGTGCGGCATGATGATAATGGTGTTGATGATGGTGGTGGTGATGGTGGTGTCTATGCTTGGAGCGTGTAACGGTAATCGGATTATTGACCGTCTTACGTAACGAATTGTCCACAACACAGCCGGACCCGGAGTTGGAGACAGTACCAGAACAAACAGATGTACGACTGAAAGCTCCAATATTGAGATTGGGTAAAGTTCTTGAAGCAGCTATTGCTGGTGGTGGTGTTGAAGTTGGTGATGATGTTGGTGGTGATGGTGGCGGTGGTGCTGGTGTTGTTGTTGTTGTGGTTGTTGTTGGCGGTGGTGTTGAAGCTACTATAGATTTTGTATCTTCAGATGCCGCTGATGCTGTTGCCAGGCGTGTGCACAAGCACGAGGTGAGCTTTGCGGCTATCGGATCCTGATGGCAGCCACCACTAGTACAACTGGTTGGCGATGCACGGCCAACAATACTGGGAGGTAAGGAGCTGGTACTGTTAGAGTCATGGGCAATGTGTATGTTCTTGATGGCTGTCGTTTTGATGGGAGACGAAACGAGATTGGAGAGCGACTTGATTGGAGATTGCTCCAATAACGGCTTTAATTGTGCCGTTGATGGTTGCCTGGACATCTGGCTAGTTACAGCGGCAGCGGCCGCAGCTGCAGCCCGTGGTGCTATACTCTTCACAATATTATGCAGACTCTCGTAGTCGCGCTTGCTAAGGAACGAGCTGAGATCGGAGGTCTTAATGGCATGGTGTCCGCGACCATTTCCGGCCGTAGTGCCACTCAAGCTGCTGCTACTGTTGTCGCTGTCACTGCTGATGGTAGTGGTTTCGGTGGTGGTGCTCCTTCTGCTTTTGTTGTTACCTGAGCGCTCCAGATCGAGCTTTCGTAGGTGTGTGCCAGCGCTACCGGCGGCCATCGCCGTGGCATTGTGATGCTGATGATGATGATGGCGGTGATGGCTATGGCTGTGGTGCAGACTCGGATGCTGATGGCTATGCACATGCCCGTTGCTAATGCGTCCGCTGCCCAGTCTATGGCTGGAGGAACGGGTGCGCGCATGCGACAAATGGGAGTCCACGCTACTGCTTGGATAAATGCAGCCCAGGGCTCCGCTTGATGCTGAATGGGAAGAGCTAGTACTGCCACTACAGCCGCCAACAGAGCTATTACCGCCCACCACAGGTGGCAGGGCAGCCGTTGAGGCAGTAGTGCCGCCAGCAGGATTAACAGTACTCAGTTGCAACTGAATAAGCATCATGTGATCACCCAGACGCATACTAAGATTGAGTGGAGTCTTGCCACTGAGAAAATCATTCACCTGCGAGTCGTTAAGGGATTCCAGCGCTTGCATAACGGTATTCTCCGGACGCTGTGCCTAAAGAGAACGAGAGAAAAATGATTTTAAATTAATATGTTTTATAATTTATAGATATGAATTATAAACAAGTAAGAAGGCTCCAGTCGAGACTGCTCGACTAGGAGAACAATGCACTTCTTTCACGCACACATGCATACACACGCATCCACACGCACGTGTAATGACGCGCACGTGCTGACTGAGGGCCATATTATGAGAATTTATTAGTTGAATAATTTATCTTGTTAATGAACTATTTTAATGAAACTTCCAGAGCGTGATCATATAATTAAATTGTGTGTACGTTCCAAAGCACAAGTCTCTAGTACTCGAAATTCATTTTTTACAAATTCGGGGCGAAATCTTCGTATCGATCAACTGTATATACATAGTAAATTTGGAGTCCCTAGGTTTAAAAACCTTCAGATTAGGCAGAAAAAACTAAATCGATTTTCGATTATTCTCGATAAAAAAATATCGGATGAATTATCGAAAAAATAGTATCAACTTGTACTGCGTACGCTCGTGTGTACCGTATACATACATATACATGCCAAATTTCAGCTCTCTAGATCTTACAACTTCTGAGATCGACGCACTCATACGGACGGACGGAGGCAGGACGGACGGACGAACGGACAGACGGACTATATCTATAGGACTATATCGACTCAGCTCGTCGTGCTGATCAAGAATATATATAATTTATGGTGTCTGCGATGATTCCTTCTGCCTGTTACATAATTTTCACAAAACCATTATACCTTGATTTCAATGGTTTTCTTAAAATGTATGTAGCAGGAAGAAGGAGGCATGTCAGACCCTAGAGGCAACGAGCTGAGTCGATTTGGCCCTATCCGTCTTTCCATCTGTCCGTATGTATGAACGCGTCGATCTCCGTATATATAGCCCGCATATCGAATTTATCACCAAATTTGGAGACTCTAGCTCTAAACATGAGGGAGATACAATTTTATAACTGTTTTTCAATAAGGGTTTTTATCGATAACAAATACCGGGATGAGTTATCGATTTTCGGAGATAAACTCGATGTGGGCGCTATATATACGGACATTTAAAAAAAAATTTTAATAAAAAAAAAATAAGAAAGCTCTAGTCGAGACTGCCCGACTACGAGATTCCTTGAGCCCTTCGAGCAATAGCTGTTGCAATCATTTCATTTTCACAAGACATACCCACATACACACACACGCATACACACAAGCATACACACACACACATATACACACACACGCACACACAAGCACCCACGCCTAAACACGCATGGGCTGCAGTGGTGGCTTACTATGGGAACTTAATTGTTCAATAACTTTTCTTGTGGATGTACTTTCTTCTTGAAACTTTTTAATATTATTATTATGATTAATAACCTAATATCATTTCAAAACATTTCCAAGGGCTGACTGCCGTAGTGGAAGGCTTTGAATACCTGCAAGTTTCACTTTAAAATGGTCTGGAAAGAAGCACGCGAAGTGTCAAGGGCGTTGTTGTTGATAGTTATACAACTTATTTTTAAGTTTCCCACCAAAAGCCCAACAGCTGTTGTTGTTCAGCCTACTAAGGTCACCTGACGTCGCTGTCGCGATTCTTCGCCCGCGGCGCACGCAACTTACGTCATGCAACAGCAGCTTTTGCAACGTGTCGTCAATCGTCAAAATCGAAACTTTAAAAACCAGCAACAATATGAAAAGCGGTCAAATTTGTAATTTATTAGTGCTCTGTCAATTGTTTTTGTTTTTTTTTTATTAAGGATAATCACGCGCTCTGCTGACTGCGCAGTTAGCAGCGACTGCGCTTGAGATGCGCTGCAGTGCACTATGGGAAAAAAGTACGATATTTTGGCATTAATACAATTTTTTTGTTGTCTCAAACCGCTAAACAAATATTTTTTTCCAATTCTAAATTCATTAGATAGAATCAAAATAGTGCTGCAAATCCATCGATGGAAATATCGATAG